AAAATTAATGAAGTGAAACAGGAAGGGATGCAGATGTGAAGCAATGAAGTTTGTAGGGATCTCAGATCCCATCTAACCTGAGGGAGTGGGAAGAACTGGACTCAATTATACTACTACATTGTGGTGCAGACCACCACAATGGCCATAGTAGTGGGTTTCTTAACACAATGGGACCACTGTGTTAGGCCTTTACTACATACCATACATACTGTTCTGTGCACAGATCCATCTTTTATTTCTCAATATTATATAGAGGTAAACATACTTTAAACTTTGGTTGAGCTACCAAATTTTCGGCCACTCCATTATGGTAGCTTATCCTATATCCTAATACATATTTTTTCCAAATTGTTTTATAATAATTACATGTTATTTAACAATGATATGATGACAATGGAACAAATGTCTGCCATATTCTTACCAGTCTCTTGTGCACAAAAGAAAGTTAGGCATCTTGTTAGAGGGTATGTAGGCTTTCTTGCACTCACCATTTTAAATGCTGAGTGAAATACAAGTGTATTTCATTAAATTAACACAATAACAATTTAAGGCATTTACAAGTATTTACATCCATTCTGTCCCAGAGAAACTGAGTTCCATAGTGGCTAAGTAATGTACTCAAGTTTTCAAAGTCAGCACAAAGAGCATTTGAAATTCAAGTCATCTGATTTTATAGCTGAGGTTCTTGACCACTGCCTGGAGTCACCTCCAGGCATTTGTGAAGGCTTTATTTTATAAAAGGCCCTTCCCTAAGGGTCCAGTTACATTTCATAATGAAGCAGCAAGAACTGGATGATTCTAAGAAATCCTATTTCTAAAGGAAAATCATCTGGTTGCTCTCACACTTCTGACTAAAGGTTAAAATGCTCAGTCTCTTCTTCTAAACCCTCTTGTGCACTCACATCCCATGCTCTCGATTCTGTGTTTGTTTTATTTACTGACTTCTGGAGAACTCACAGGGCACAGAAGTCATCAGTGAGTAGCTCAATTTATGAGAATAAGTAGAAGAGACAGTCATAAGACAACTTCAAATGCATTTGAGAAACAGAAGCAAGAAATCAGTGGGAGGATGTGTGGCTTTAGTTATTCTGATGCTGGTATTTGTGTCACAAGCCAGAACATCATTTGATTGCTTTATTCGGAATATTCACACAGTCTGGCAGCTGTGATGATAGGACTTGGATCATTCAAGACAAAGTCTTCAGCCCAGCAATCCGACTTTTACTGAGCAGTTATGGGCTTTTTCTTTGGTCTGGATATAAACAAGAATCACATGATGGGGTAACAATGCTCGATAGGAAATGTACTCATTACCTTACTCATGTAACTTAGCCCTTCTCTACAGTATCTTTACAATAAAAATATAAAAAAAGAATCACATGAACCTTGAAAACATATGAAAAATAAAGTAGCAATAAGAGAAAAAATACGCAATCATAGAAGTATACAAGCAAATGGTTTAAGCAAAAGGTCTTAAGACACCAGATTGGGGTGGGGTGGGGGAGGAAGACTTCCTTGGAATCTAGAATTACATTCACTGTCTTGGAGAGAGGGTGAATTTGGGGTTGGAAGAGATATTGAATAATGATATGTGGATGAAATAGCACAAAGAAGGAAGTGGGAAAGTTGCGAGCAAGTTCAGAGCATATGGTGAGAAAGGGATCTAGAAAAGAGCAGAGAGCAGATCAAGCTGCAGAATCGAAGGGTAAGTACAGAGCTGGGAAGGATGCATAACACTGTCTTTAGAACCTCTAAATGTACAAATGTTTCTCCATCTCCCTACTGGTTGCATTCATATGTGATACTCTGGGAGACCCTCTGCTCTAAAGCAGATCTCTAAAGACCACTCGCTCAACTGTTAACTTAAATCAGCCATGTTGTCTTTTGTTGAAAGAACAACTATTTTCCTTCATTCTTAACTCCTCAAAGTATAAAGGCTTATATACAGATGGTCAGGTTGCCTTCATACTTTTCTACCAGGTAGAAAAAAAAAAACACAAATCAAAACAAAAGAAAAATCTAAACACCGATCTAATCAGCTACAAAAGGTAGACTCTAGTTATTCCCATATCCCTCATATACAGGGGCCTATTTTTCTACAGAGGTCCTTATTTAAGTGTTCTTTTAGAAAACCACATTTAACCCAACGCCCTCACCAACACTTACGCAGGCAGGAAATACAAACAATCAAAGACAGACAAATAATAATCCTGGGGAAAAAATTAAATTCCCTGAATTGCTTAATATTTGGACTTCCAGCTTTAGTCTGAATTAATTATAGCTCATTTCTCAGGAAGAAAGTCTGATGATGATGATCTTTTTTTTTTGGGTCAGTTGTGGGGCTTGAACTTCAGGGCCTGGGCTTTTTTGAGCTTTTGTTGTTGTTGTTGTTGTTCAAGCTAATACTCTAGCACTTGAGCCACAGTTTCACTTCCATCTCTTTTTGGTGGTTAATTGGAGATAGGAGTTTCATGGACTTTCCTGTCTGGGCTGGCTTTAAACTATGATCCTCAGATCTCAACCTTCTAAGTAACTAGGATTAGAGGTAGGCCTGAGCCACCAATGCCTGGAAAGTATGATGATCTTAATTGTAATTTAAGAGAAGAGAGGTAGAAACCAGATACCAGTCGCTCACATCTGCAATCTTAGTTCTTCATGAGTAGATCAAATTCAATCCAGGCAGGAAACTTTGTGAGACTTTTATCTCCGGATAATCACCAAAAAGCTGCAAGTGGAGTTGTAGTTCAAGTTGTAGAACACTAGCCTTAAGCACAAAAGCTCAGGGGCAGGGCCCAGGCTCTTAGTTCAAGGCTCAGTACTGACCAAAAAACATGAGGGGAAGGGAGAGAATGTTGAAGGATTATCTTATCTAATTCATTATTTCATCCCCAGTTGGGTCTAAAATCGGTGCATATCTAATGTCCTCTGAATCTGGGATGTCCTATGAATCAGGAATATTTGGTGGCCCATATCCAATCTATCTACACCAATATAATAGTTATAGATTTTCTTTCTTTCTTTGCTGTCTTACTCTTCTAAAGCTCTCACTTCGCTGGGGTTACCATCTAAATATCTGTGCATCACAAATTCTTATCATTAGGCTCTGTCTTACCTAATTAAGATAAACATAATGACAATATAGTGATTTTCCTATGAAGTCAAATTTAATCAGTACTAAAAAATATACTTTATCCTATATTCTGTCTTGGAAGGCTCATCAGAATAATAGCTCACCCCAAGGAGACATTTTATAGATGGATTATATTAAAGACTTTGAGATGAGATTATCCTGATGATTGAGAATGGTGTAGCTAATGAAATCACAAGGGTACTTAAATGGTACAAAAGAAAGGTAAGAGAGTTAGAAAAAAGAGATGATGACAGAAGCAGAGAACTGAATAATGTGAGGTCAGCAGACAAGGAATTCAGATGACCTCTAGAACTAGAAAAGGCAATACAATGGAATATCCCTATTCAGTACATATTTTGTGGGAAATGACCTATGTAACTTGTGAGCAGGGATGGGAGGGGGAAATTGGAGGAAAGCAAAGGAGCGGTAGTGACACTGTTCAAAAAACGAAATTGCTCATTACTTGACTTATGAAATGATAATCCCTCTGCACAGCACCTTAATAATAACAAAAATATATTTAAAAAGTAGAATATGCCCTAGAGCATATGTAATACTATCAACACCTTGATTTGAGGCCAATGAAATAGATTTCAGATTTCTGAAATACTTATATAGGTAAGCATAAAAAATTTTGTGTTGTCTTCCAATACATTGTGAAAGCAACCAGAAATATAAAATTCAATATAGAAGCAACCAGAAATTATATGTTTGGTGGTAAAATTCCCTGTCTCTTATGAAATGCATATTTTTCTATATGATAGTTGATTTTAATTGACAAAAAGGTGTTCTTGCATTGCAACAGAAGTTTGTAACCTCTCTAAATTATTTGAAAATTTGATGGTGTATAAAGTTGAAAAGTATGCAATTCACTTAAAAAATATCTAGCATAGAGTCAAAGCTGTGAAGGATTTTGTAGGAGACAAAATTTCTCGGAAATACTCTGTAACCAGATGACTGGAAGCAAAACCAGCAAAGTAACACTCAACCTACTCACTTATAGCATTATAAATGAGTCAGAGTGATGAGTGGTTGCAGTGAATATTTTCCAGGTCCACTTTCCATGCTGCAACACTCTACTCTGAGCCTGGGCCATTGATCTCTATGTATGACATTAGTGGGTTCCTTGTTCTCTGACTTCTTACTGGGTACATCAAACTACAAGGCACCAGAGGAGATTGAAGAGTGAGAGGAGACTGAGATTGGTATAACTTACCCCTCTCCCACGCTTCAGAGCTGTTGCAGGTAGCAGCTTTCCCTCTTCTGAAGGTCACAGCTCCCAAGTGGTGCTGTCCCCACAGCTACTTTCTCATGGTTCCAGTAGACTCTCCAACAGTGGTAATTGCTTCCTGAATATTGAAGCTTCATGTCCTGCACTATTCTTGTGATCCCTCTAAATTATTACCAAACCTTCATCATCCGTATCTTGAATATACCTTCCTCAAATGATTGATAGAGCTAGGAAGTGGGGGCAGTGCTTGCCTTGAGGGTCAATGATGACTGAAATAAGTTCTTTCACATTAGAATTCCAGAACATGCAACTGATATTTATGCCAGGCTGTGGCTTTAGATGCAGAACATTGGAGACTTGGTAGAGTCTTTCTAGGGTCCTGCTGCAGCTAGTGTTGGCAGAAACACTAATATTTGGCCAGGATACTTCTGCCAGAGGATAACTAGTAGCTTTGCAGGTAAGGTTCACTTCATCTGTTCCTGGAGCCTTTGGGATGCCAATGTCTGTTTTCTTGGAAGCTGAACAATGAAAAATGAGAAAAAGAGATACTATTTTCCATATTCCTGAATACTGTGAAATGAATAAAATGATCACTAGCAATAAGAAGTAATGATGTGGCCCGAGCTCCTTGATGCCATGGGTGCTACGTCCCCGAAGCCGTCTCTGCTGCCATCCCGCCCCAGGAAGAGAAGTTAAAATGTAAGAGCAACCCAATGGGCAATCTCCCCAACAGATGGTGACAAGAAATCATCCAGATGGGGTGCAGGTGCTGTAAAATGATACAAAGCTATCTCTTTGATCCAGTCCAATTGCCCTCCCCTGGCTATGTCAATGAAGTAAGCGGCTGCAAGTTGGAAGAAGACGACACTGTGAAGTTGAAAGGCAACCTAAGCAGTGAGGTCCTGGTGCACAAAAATGTCCTTCCTGATAAAGGTTTAGGAAGGACCGAGAGCAGAGGTAGGACAACTGGTCTACCTCACCAAGGACCACTTCCACAGGAGGAGACTGGAGGAAAACACTGTGTCACAATCAATGGCATCAGCCCCACTCTGCAATCCAGGAGTCCAAAACCCCAGCAGGGGGACAGTGGCTCCTGGGCCAGCACTGCAGACAGCAGCCACCCGACCCAACCCTTCCTTGAAGGAGAGGACAACAGGAAACAGGACTGTGTGCTACCTGCCTCAGAAGAGACCCAAGGAGGGGCTGGGAAGTTGGCTCAGTGGTAGAGCGCTTGCCTTGCATGCCTGAGGCCCTGGGTTCGATTCCTCAGCACCACATAAGCAAAAAGAAAAAAGCTGGAAGTGGCGCTGTGGCTCAAGTGGTAGAGTGCTAGCCTTGAGCTGAAGAGCTGAGGGACAGTGCCCAGGCCCAGAGTTCAGGCCCCATGACTGGACCCAAAAACAAAACAAAAAAAAAAAAAAAAAGAAGAGACCCAAGGCATCCAAAATGGAGAAAACAGAGTCACCTCAGAGGTAGACAGTAGTGCCTTGGACATACCAGATCATATCCTGCAGATACCAGCCCCGGATTACCCTCAGCTTTGGGATCCTGCTACAGATGATGGGGATCATGAAGAGAAGGACTATCTTTTCCAGAACCACCCGGAAGATAAGCCCCTGGGAGAAATTCACCCCAGGGCCGACGATCATGGTTTGAATCTGTCCTTCCCCAGGAAAAGGAGCTGGGATTCACTAAACGAGGCCATGACCACAGAAGTTCTGAACGTCTACTTCGAAGAGAATGATCCTCTTCATGCCATGCCTGGGGATGATTCCAGAATGAAAGAAGAGGGCTCTCACAGAGCAGAAGGAGACACGGATGTGGAGGTGGAATAGGAGGACATGGCTGTGGCTGAAGCACTGGCAGCCTTAGAAGCAGGAGAAGAAACAGATGAGGAAGACTAGTGGAGGGGATTGGGTGCAGGCTATACGCTAGTGCCAGGCTGAGCAAGTGCAGGTGCACTGCCCTCTTGTAAGGAGCAGGTGATCATTCTGCTAGCGTGCCCAATGCCCCCTGGCCTGTTGTTTACATCGCATCTGCCCTGACTGTCAGTCCTGTGCCATGCTGCTTGCTAAAGATGCAGAGCATCACTCTGCGATGATGGGCTGTCACTCAGGACACTAGAATAAAACTTAGAGCAGACCACGGCGTCTAGGTCCGTGGCAATTGCAGAATTTTAGCAGCCTGCTTCCCAGCTCTCAATGGGATCCAGAATATTTGATCCAGATGTCCAGAAGGCTATTCTGCAATCCCAACATCTAATCCCAAAGCACATATCACAGAGCATTCTGTTTGACTGTAAAATTCTTCTGGTTGAGGTGTGTGTGTGTGGTGTGTGTGTGTGTGTGTGTGTGTGTGCACGTGTGCACGTGTGCATGCACATGCGTGCACGCACACATGTGTAAGTGTGCCAGTACTGGGGCTTGAACTCAGGGCATAGAGCTCTTGCTTAGATTTTTTTTCTGCTCAAGGCTGGCACTCTATCACTTGGACCATGCTTCCACTTCCGGCTTTTTGCTGGTTATTTGGAGCTAAGCATCTCACAAACTTTTCTTCCCTGGCTGGCTTCAAATCTGATCTCAGCCCCTAGGATTAAGCATGAGCCTCTAGCTCCTGGCTTGACTATAAAGTCTATACCTTGCTTTTGAGAGCCAAACTTTTTACCCTACCTAGAAAAAAAAAAAAAAGAACTACACCCTTTTTTAAAGTGCCTATTATGTGCCCCCCCCCACCCCGTATGGCTTCATACTGTCAGGAACAATCACCCAGGGAACTAATAACTAACGACTTGTTGGACAGGGAGCCAAGCTCAGTGGCCTTCAGAGTGGAATGAGAAAGTGACCAGTAAACAAATGGTTAGTCATTAGCTGAGGTATGAAAACACCTTGACCTTAACTTTTTTACGTTATTACTTTTTAATCTCCTTTGGGATTTGGGGGGGCTGGCCAAAAGTCATTGTTAAAAACTTCTCGTGTCATATTTCGGTCTTAAGTTCGTGAGTTTCGGGAACAGCAAAGCCATATATGGAGTGTTTTATGCCATTAAATGTCTGATTCTGATTAAAAGGAAAAAAAAGAAGTAATGATGTTTTGCACTGATAAAACATTATTTCCCAGAGATCATATTATTTTGCATGCACTGTATGATTCAATTTTTACAATACAACCAAAGTGCCATTGTTGATGTTCCTAGTTTTTGTTGGTGCTAACTGCAGATAGAGGTAGAGTGACATGCCCAGGGTTACAGGGATAATAACTGATGAGGCCAACACTGGAACACTGTAAGGCTATGAATTTAGAACTTAACAGTATTATAAACTAAGTACTAAAAAGTTATCCCTGGGGCTGGGATGCAGCTCAATGGCAAAGAGCTTGCCTAGCAAGCACAATATCCTGGGTTTGATCCCCAGTATCAAGAGAGAGAGAGAGAGAGAGAGAGAGAGAAAAGACAAAAATACAGCTAAAATTATCTTCCAACCAGGGGCTGTAAAGCAGCAAGGAGATAGATACATAAAATCACTAGATAATATCATCTTATTCAGTGCTTTTTCAAATATCTTCAGTAAAATTTTCTTTTCTTTTTTCTTTTTGGTCAGTTGTGGGGCTTGAACTCTGGGTCTGGGCACTGTCCCTCAGCTCTTCAGCTCAAGGCTGGTGCTCTACCACTTGAGCCACAGTACCACTTTTGGCTTTTTCTGCTTATGTGGTGCTGAGGAATCGAACCTAGGGCTTCATGCATGCAAGGCAAGCACTCTACCACTGAGCCACCCTCCCAGCCCCTGCAGTAGAAATTTTACTTGCTGATTTTTTTTCTCTACTCTGGTCTCTTTCAGATTAGGAAGAGAAACAATTAGAATCTAGATAATGTTTCTAAATAGTCACTAGTTGGGTGTATTTATTATGTTCTTCAGAATATACACACACATACACGCATATACATACATACAAGTTCATTCATGCATACATGTCTGGTGCAGTACAAGCTGGATAAATTAGTTGCATATGGTTCTCTATAGTCTACAAAACTAAGATTTAAAACAGATGATGGTGATATTGAAAGGGCCAGAAACTGTCTAATAATCACAGATAATAACAAATTAACACCATAGGTAGATATGTATAAAGGAATAAATACTTGCTTTTATTTCATACAATTTTTGGGGGGGTTGGGTCATGGGGCTTGAACTCTGGGCCTGAGAAGTCTGGGGAAGGAGCCATATGAACAAGAATATATTCTCCTAAGGGATCAGGTAGTACCTAGAACCCCTAAACAATGAAGAGAATCATATCTGACACACTTACTGAAGGATTTGACCTAAGACAAACCAGTTGCCTTTTTTTATTCACACCAGTTTTCTTAGAACCAAATTTTGACTTGTCTTTGGCAATCAGTGTCAGAAGCATGCATTTACCTCCTACTTTACATTATTTATCTATACTTATTTTGCCTTGTTGCTATATGCATTTAAGACAATGTAATCCTGTCATAATGCATATTATTTTTCAAGCTCTTGGGTCTTTGGGTGGTGGAGATAAAGTTGTTTTTTTTAAAAAAACGGGATTTAAAGTAGTATATTGTGAGTGAACTTTTGCTAGCTCCTACAGACTGACTGAAGACAAGAAGCTGGTCTTGAGGGCTGAGATGACAGATGACTCAGAAGTAGGAAATGCAGGAATCAGGAGTTTGGCTGAGGCTTCCCCTTTGGATATATAAATAAAGAAGGAGATGGGAGAGAGCTCTGTTTAGCTAAGGAACAAGCAACATTTAGAGAATTTTTACATAATATCTACAATGCCTTTACAACCCCTTTCTCATTTGGGAAATGACTGAAGAGGTATTATATCAACAACACACAGTAGGGAAGCTGGGTTGAGGGTGATATTCTCAGAAAAGATGAGTAAATATTAGAATTTCAGAGTTGGAAGTTATCTTAAAACTCGAGATGTCTAACTTCCTGTTCAATGAGAAGTCTCTTCAAGTCTGCAAGACAAATATCTTGAAGAGATATTTTTTACACTGACTTTTATAATTAGACAGTGTTTCTCTCTCTCTCTCTCTCTCTCTCTGTGTGTGTGTGTGTGTGTGTGTGTGTGTGTGTGTGTGTGTGTGTGTGTGTGTATTCTGGGTACTTTCCCTGAGCTTTTATGCTCAAGACTCTACCACTTGAGTCATATCTTTACTCCCTGCTTTTTTGGTAGTTAAGGAGAGAAAAGTATCGCAGACTTTACCTGCCTGTGTTGGCTTCAAACTGTGATCCTCAGATCTCAGCCTCCTGAGTAGCTAGGATTAAAGGTATAAGCCACCAGCACCAGCAATGTTTCTCTTTTGTTAAATCATACTCTTTTTAACATATATTAATTGTAAAAGACAATGGGTTTTATATCTGCCGTATGTATGAATGGGTTTTATATAAGTAGATGATGTACTTGAATTATATTCACCCTCCCCCAATTATGGTTATTTACTCCCCTCCTCCTCCTGATCTCCTACTTTCCCTCGTAGTTCCTCTTCTATTTTTATGGTCTTTTTTGTTTGTTGTTTTAGATTCCACATGAGAGAAAATATGCATGGCTTTCCTTTCTGAATTTGTCTTATTTAATTTAATGTGATGAGTTCCAGTTCCACATATTTTCCTGAAAATGACATAATTTCATTCTTTCTTCCATTACCCATGTGTAACCACATTTTCTTTATCCATTCTGCTCTTGGGCTCATCGGCTGATTCTATGACTTGACTACTGGTTGTGATTCCTTTGGGTATATACTCAGGAGTAATATAGCACAACTAGATTCCAATTCTATTTTTAGTTTTTTCAAGAACCTACACACTGATCCCCATAATGGCTGTGTTCATTTGAGCAAACTATTGACTTTTATCTTTTTTCTTTTATTTAGTAGTACTGGAGTTTAAGCTCAGGGTTGCATGCAGGCAGTGGTCTACTACTTGAGAGCCATGTCTCCAACGCTTTGTTGCATTGGTTGTTTTCTAGACAAGGTCTCTCTTTATGCTTAGGATGGCCTGGTCTGTGATTCTTCTACTTGTGCTCCCAGAGTTGCTGGGGATAATAGGCATTTGCCACTGCATCCAACTATTGTGCACCAGATCCGAGGTAACAAGCATACACCACTGCACTCCGCCATACATTGAAATGGAGTCTTGTCAACTTTTATGTCCAGGTTGGCTTTGAACTTTAATCTCCTGATTTCTGCCTCCTAATTACCTAGAATTTTAGGCTTGAGCCACCAGTCTCAGCTTGCTTTTTATCATTAGCACTATTTTTCTGATACTAGCCAACAGCTTGACAACTAACTTTTGGCTAAATGCATTTCCATTTCCTCTCACAGCCATCTTTGCCACAATTAGACAATAAGCAAATTATCCTTTCATTGGGAGCACCATCTTTGAACCAGGATATCCTTTTATAAAATAATTTATTTGTTATTATTAAGGTGTCATACAGAGGGATTACTGTTTCATAAATTAGGTAATGAGTACATTTATTTTTGGACAATGACCAAGATTTCTTTTTGAGCATCGGCTTATTGCTGCTTATCTGGTTTAGTTAAATAACATATGGTAAGCACAATAGCTAAGAACATGAACTTTAGAAGCTGAAAGGTTTGATTCAGCTTTTAGCCAAGGGCTAGTTACATAATAGTTCAAGCCCTCCGATTTTGATCTTTAGTTCCCATTGGCAAACCCACTGTGTTCCACTGTCTGTCAGCTGTCTTTCCCTCTCACGAGTTCCACTAATCTTGATGACCCACCTTTGGGTAGCTTTGGCTGAGTGCTGATTTATTTCCTTGTTCTCTGATTAGCTTTTCAGTCTCACAC